GCGGTGGGGGAGGGGCGGCGCACCTGCCCCGCGTGGGGGAGGGGCGCGGCCCTGGCCGGGCCTAGGCCCTCCGCCCTGCCCCGTGGCGCCGGGGTCTCCCTCTCTGCCCTCCCCCGCCACGGCTCGGGCCGGTGTCCGCCAGGCTGCCCCCCGTGCCCTCCCGGCCGAGGCGTGGGCAGCCGGGCCTGGCAGCTCCGGCTCCCGTCGCCGTGGGTCGCTCGGGGCCCGCCCTCCCGGGTGCGGGCTGAAAGGGGGCAGCGGACGAACGAGCGGGGGTATTTCCCAGCCCTGGCTTGCGTGCGTCGGTCTGAGTTACTCTGCTTTCACTGTGCTTATTACCTTGTGCCTTCGCGGCAGAAGGTGAGGCTCCTGTGTGGAGGATCTTGTGCCGCTCCGCTTGCTGTCAGGAGTGCTAGAGGAAGGCTTTTAGGTTCTCTTTTTAGCCGATCCAGTATTCTCATTATTTTTTAATATATTCAGTAGATTCGTAATCGTGATGGGAGGGCGGGAAGAACTGTACGTAGTTCACTTTCTTCTCCCATCGCTAGTCTGGAGTGCTTTCCCTGTAGGCAAAAATAGATACAAACTAGTTCTCATTTTCCCTTGAAGCCCAAAGAAGAAACATTCTATGGGTATTTGTGAAATAACTTCTAACCTACCTGTGTTCATCAAGATATTTCACATAATCAGAAACATAACATCTTAACAGGCAGGAAAAGCAGAGGTTTCCTGGTGACGGATTGTTTGTATGAGGTTGCTTTTCATCAACAATTTGGATAATTCCAGTGTTTGGCAGGCTAGGAGTTCAGTCTCCTTGTCTCTTGCAGGCTCTATGTGATTTTCAGTTGATCCTGTCAGTTTCCAGGACAAACAATTCAATTTTCCATTGAAAACAAGCTATTGCAAAGAAAATGTGGTAAATAGCCTTTGAAAATTAATTTCACAGCCTTAGGATGTTATTTTGCTGACTCAGTGACAACAGAAATGCAGGAAAATGAGTTTTCCCAGTACTTCAAAGTGTATTTTACAGTTACATGCAACATCTGCTCACTTCTTTTTGCTTTGCTCTCGTTTTTTCGTTCCTATCTCTTTATATTTCCTTTTTTGTTGTTTTAGGTTAAATTGAATATTTGCGCAACACAGCTTCTTGCAGAAGGACCACCATACTGTTTTACACTTAGGAAAATATGAGAATAAGCAGGGAGCGTTGTTCTCTCTGAACTAAAAAAAAAAAAATCTGTGCCTTGCTGAGGACAGCTGCAGGAATCGGACACTTGAATCAATGTTATCGGATGAGTTAGAATCCAAACCTGAGGTGAGCAATTATGAACTGGGTTTGGTTCCCAGGAACATTTATGGGCAACACTTAGGAAAAGTTCAATGAGTTTACTCAGTTTGCTGCTTACATATTAATTCTCAAAGTGTTTTCAGTGGCAATTTCTAATGCTTCCATGTTTTGATTTGAATGGTAAAAGATTAAAGAATATTGCAGGGTTTTTTCCCCTCCTTTCAAGTGTCAGCCAATACTCTTGCCTGTTCTCAGGTTACTTTCTTTTTTTCACTATTATAATGTTCTTTCTGTTACAAGAATAAAATAAATTACTGTATTGACTACTTCTTTCCCTCAAACCAAATTGACTTTACTCGGTTTTGGGGAGTCTGGATTATTCTATTAGCATGAGCCAGTTCTGTTTTTTAAGCTACTCATGTTTCCATTAAGCAGTTGGCAGAAGTGGTAGGCAGCAGCACTCAGGGGATCCTGGTTGCTCAGTGTGAGGCTGCTGGACTGTTCCCAGGTTCAGCTGGTAGCACAGCTGATCATGAATTGCAGTGATGTATGTGTGTGCACACAGTGCACGCACAGCTGGCCACAAACAGATTAACACATACACAGGTAAAGTACTGTTAAGAGGTAAGCACAAACAGCATGAACGACACTAAAGTTTGTTAGTGGACTATATCTATACCCTCGTCACTCAACTCTCGTGCATACTCACATTTACAGATGGCTCTGGCAGGCCTAAAGCCTTTCTGGTATCTGTGCCCAGACCCAGGGCTTTCTAGCCAGTTTCTGGCTGGAATCTTGTGTTTTTCCAGACCATGGTTGCCTAATCCTTACACATTAGTCAACCAGAAGTTCACCAGCAGTGTACTCACTTGTGGGTAGAATGTTTAAGAATATGTTCAGTGAGTAGATAGAAGGGACTGCAGTGATCAGACACAGCAGCGTACTGACAGCAGCTAGCAAACATATGATTAGAGTCTCTTCTCTCCCTCCTGCCATGGCTCTTTCTCCACTTACCCACCTCGATTCCTTCTTTGATCCTCCTCCTAAACATTGCATAATAAGTTTTACAGATCCTGCAGTCCCTGTTACATCAGATAATAAGTTTGGTCTTTCCTATGAGACCCATTCAGATAACCCAAGACAATTTTGCTTTCTTACTGGTTACAAAAGTTCTGGTTGAGCCTCTTCAAGGTTTTACTTCAGCAGTGGCCCACTGATCAGTGTCTGAGGAGTTCTGGTCTTTGTTACTCTTACCCGTAATTTGCTAGATACAACAGTCTGCAGTTTGTTATATTCAAGACAATTGTACCAGCGGGTTCAATTTATTACCTTTCCTGTTTCTTACCTTTGTCTTTTAGGCTGAATAGCCATTAGCCAGCTATCTGTACATTCCCCCCACTTAAAAGTGCAAAGGACTGTATCACTTTGTGTGCTTGCTTTTCTGGTTCTCAGCTTTACCTCATCAGAAGGTTAAGGTCCTAGAGCAGAGGACTTAGTACTGCTATGAAGTAGCTTTTGGAGAAGTTTGCAAATTTAAATTGAATTGTTTTTATTGAGTCTTCTGTTTCTATCCCTTTTCAGTCCATATGCAGGTATCTTAAACTGGTACTTTAAAGAGAATGGTGGTAATTTGTCTCAGCCCAGTTGAAGTGGTAAGGTATTTGTTTCTTAACAGAGCAGCCAAAGCCCTTCCACAATCACACTATTCAGGAGAAGCAGCTGCAAATTTGTAGTAGCCCTGTAGTCAGCATAGGCTGCAAGGAATTCCTTTCTCTTGCCTTGTGGTTGATATCTCATAACTTCTACCAATTTTTCTCCCAGTTCTGAATGATAACATGGAGGACTTTGTTACTTCAGTCTGTGAGTGGGTGGATTTCTGACAGCCAAGGACCAGGATAGTTGGAATGCTTGTTCCTTTGTTCCTTAAATAGGAGCTGTAAGTGGGCCTTGTCTTTTCTGGACTTGAGTAAGATATTTGTTAATTAGGCATGTTTACATAATAGTCCTATTTCCCCATTAGCAGAGTTGCATTTCCTTCTCAGTAAGCCCAGAACAGAGTAGTCCATGCTACAGTAGGAACAGGCCTCATGCATGAAAGCTACAGTGGTTGCAGAGGGCATCCTTTCCATAGATACTGTCTTCTAAACCATTTTCCTCAATCTTGATCAAGGCTATTGTATACTACACATTGGGATTCATTTGCATTGTGGATTACCAGATCCATACACACACTCCTGGTTCTGATTGCGAAAGCTGAGTGTTAAGTTAGTGCTATTTTCTACTTCTTTGATGTGAAAATGGTAGATACCCTTTTTACACCTTTCCCAAATAGCAGTTCAAGTATGTCTGAAAGTCAGTCATCATTTTAGATCCCCTGGTGAGCCATGGCACCATAATTCTTAGAGCCACAGATGTTCTTTCATACCTACCATGTGAGAAAGGTATTAATTAGGAGCTAACTGTGTTTGTGTAACATCTAGATAATATTAATCAAAGCACTATGGATGGATTGTATAAGCTTCTTTGCTACTGGTTTTATCCCTAAAGAAGCCACCAACGTGCAAATAAAAGTTTAATACTTGAGCAGAGGTGAATCCTCCTTTTATAGGAAGTTACAAAGTTGCTTTGAGAGGGTTTGTAGGAGCAGTTGGATCTGCTTTTTCTTCTGAACTCCCTGCCCCCAAAGCTGTATTACCTACATTCCTCAGGGTACTGATAAGATCTGCATTTTGCATGCTTTAAGCCTTCAGAGTGATTTGTTACAGCTGCAAATATTTTCAGCCACCTCCACCACACTGGTCCATTGCAGGGTGCTTTCTGCTGCCGGGGCTAGCTCTAGCACAACCAAGTGAACTACAGCTCCGGTCTACAAATTGAATTGGCTATTGAAAAGGGGGTGGAGGGGAGGTATTTTACCCTCTTTTTTCTGTCCTCATGAGTGCCTCACAAGGAGAGACTGTTGTGAATGAATTAATTCCCCAGAGGCTGTATGGGAGGAGGTCTCCCACTTTCTAGCTAAGAGCCTTCTGCCCTCCACACCCTTCAGCTCCAACCCCTCCTTTCTCCTCCACCCTTCCCCCTCTGCTAAATGTTCTTTTGACCTCTTTATTTTGTAGTGGTTCACTGGTTAAATATAGAACAGAAACCAGAAACCGTATCGATTAAAAACATGGTCCCTGCTGATCTGTGAGTATAGTCTAGCTCTCCAGCTGTCCAGTGGGAGGATAGATCTGAATGTTAGTACTGGAGAACCTTCCTCCCCTGTCCCTCCCAGCCACCCCCACCTCAAACAAAGCAACTGCCTGACACTTGGCTTTTGAATCATCTGATGGAGGAGGTATGTTAATGGGACACAAACTTCAACTCGATCCATACCAGACGGCCATATTTTCATTTGTTTCTGTAGTGCCTTTTTTTTTTTTTAATTTGAAGGGAACTCTAGGAGGGGTTCCCAGTTCTTTAAACAGATTTTTCCTTGTTTGTTCCCCACACAGCCCCTCCAGTCAGGGACATTATCCGAGCTCCTGGGTAACACAAGCATTCTGCACTGCTTGTGGTGATAGACCCTGGGATCATCCTGTCCAACCATTTCCTGTTGACTAGCAGGGATGACAATTACTTGTTTAGTGAGAAGAGGCAAGAAATAGTTTACATTTTAATACATACACTGTCTACAATACTTAGAGGATTTTCAGAGTTATGTGGTGTTTCATCAGAAGGAGTAAGAGGAGGGTATGTTCAAGAAGGTGGTATGACAGAGAAAAAAAAAAAATTATTCATAGCAAGATGTAGCTGAACTTTGCTCATTTTGTCCCTCCAAGGTTTATAGATTCTCTCTGTATGACTCACATCTGGCCCATAAAGTTTGAATCTCTTAAGTCGAGGATGTCCTTTTGCAATTAATCAATATCAAAATTTATTCCAAATTCCAAGGGATATCTTGGCTATAGAGTAAAGCCACCTCATACCTCTTATCATTCTTTTTGTGTTCTCTTAATATTCTGTACATTCAGTTTCCCTAACTATTCCTATTCAGGTGTCCCAAGATGTTCTGTCTGCTTGGTTGCAAATTCTAGCACTTTGGCCATATTTGTAGAAGAATCAGTCCCCTCTTTACGTAGAGATTCTATAGTCACCATCTCAGGAATACGTACAGCCCATCTGGATCCTGTTTGTGGTGTCAGATATTATGTGGTTATGAGATCTGATGAACTGTAGAGTCCAGGAGATTCCTCCCCTCCTGGTCCTTCAGAGAAGAGACCACTGGACTGTTCCCAGGTACACACAGAAGTGAGGCTGAGCCCGAACTGCAAATATGTACCCACGCACACATAGACAGTACAGACGTGTGGCTGTAAACACTAACTCATGGCAGGACAGTACTTTTTCAGGCACCCACAAACACTAATGGCATTCACATGAAACAGGAAGATCACAAATGGCCTGATCCTGTTCCTAATCATCAGGTTACCAGGCCTGAAATTTGCTAGCATATCACAGACATGCCCTCACTCAGCTGACATGCATACTCACAGTCATGCATCTGTCCAGTCTCTGCCAAACCTCCAGTCCCTCCAGTATCCATCTCCAGGCCCTGGGCTTTTTAATCCAGCCTCTGGCCAGGATCTTGGGTTTCCAGATTGTGGTTTCCTCCCGTTGACAGGCTAGTCCAACATGAAGTTAACTAGATTAATGTACTCGGAAACTATTTGGGAGCAAACAGCATTTGAGAAGATGATGGGATACAGTGATGAGGCAGAGCAGCATACTGACCTGCAGCCTGCTAATGTGGTCTACCCATATTACCCCCACCCCCTTCCTGTTCCCCATAGTTGTTCCTCTGCTACCCACCTTGATCCCTCCCTTTCCCTGCCTTTGATCCTTCCCCTAAACATCCATAAATTTTTCACATTCCCACAGCCTCCTCTTAAGACATCTTAGTAATAAGTTTTATGTGGTCCCAGAGTTCCCCCCATATCCCATAAGAAGTTTGCTTTTGCCTACAAGATGTGTTCTCATTGTCCTAA